ACAAATCTGTATCATCCCATCTAGGCTGAAGTCCTGTTGTCTAAGGCAGGAAAATGCTGCCTTTTCACACAAAGAGAACAGCTGTGGGTTAAGACTGCTAAACCTTTAAATAGGCACCATGGAACCTCCACCTGGGAGCTAGGAAGTTGTACCAGTGACTGGCTCGTCTTAGATCACAACAGCCTTGTTGGGGGAAAAGGGAACTAAAACTACTGCATATTTTGAACACAGACATTCAAGAGAATCAAAGAGTGAACCAGTTAAGGTAACCATCATAGCCACCAGCACCGTCCCCCTCTCCCACAAAAATAATTAAAGCCAGGCACTTCACATGAGTGAAAAAACAAAAATCACACGTTCCATAATCTTTGTTAATCCTTGGGTGCATTCATTTTTCAACTAGTCCCTTAAGTGATACACTTATTAACGCCCTCAAGAAGTAAAAAGAGTAAATGCATCTACAGTAACAGGCTCTTCATTTTTTGAGAAACCTGCGATGTTAGAAAAGACTCAAGCATCACGGTGTGACTGTGTTATCAAGAAGTCTAGAATAACACGGTCCTTAGTGGAATTCAGCGTGACTCCACTTGATAAGGTCTCGTCAGTATTAAGTATAGACAGCCTGTGTTTATAATTAAGTAATAATGACTGAAGCTTGAAGTACATGAGGCACTTCCTGGGGATTAACGACCAGCCAGGGGAGTTGCCGACCTAAAGCAATGCCTCCGGCCAGTAACCCCAGCCAGTCATTAATCCCCAGGAAATGCCCTGAACCCCAACACTGATTTTAATAAATACAGAAGGAAAAAGTTTAATATCAGCTTTGTACTTAAACTAAACATCTGTTTCATACTTAGAATGCTCAGATTTCATAAAGTGAGTTCTACAGGAGTTACTAAAGAGTTCCCTTAAACTTCTTGATACTGATAAAAAAATTTTTTACTGTAACATTAGGGAAAGCAAAGAGAACTTTTCCTAGTGTTTTAACTGGAAAGGACTTAGCTAAGATACTGTTTGAGAGGCATCATGATAACATAACCAAACTATGGACACTCAAATCTATATTTAACTTGGGAGCTACTTGACAATAACTCAAGAATAAAAGAATCAGTATTAAGGTTTATAGAAATGTTTTATCTCACTCAAAATAAAAGACTGACAGAATGATTGCAATCCTTGGAACAAAATAAAACCAACTGAACACCGCTTCCCCAGCCCCCCAGTCTTTGGTGGATCTTAAGTCATGATTCTATATGCCACTGGTGTCAAGAAACCAGTAGACAGATGCCAGGGGACAAACTATTTCATTATTATTCCAAGCAGATAGGTACTTTAATAAACTCTTTTAGGCTTTTAACTCTTAATTAATCAGGTGCTACTCGAAACCAGGACATTTTATGAGCTTCTACTTTATCAGGAGAATGTGAACATTAATTTTTGTGCTTTCAAAAAAAAAGAGCTAACCCAAATTCTCCAAAGAGGAGAAATTCTCCTTTCCATACTTCACACTCCCTAAAACCACCTCCTGGTCTGTCAGAAACTATTGCTCACACTCCAAGCACAGAAAGACCCGGATCCTCTGGACCTTGTATATTCACAGCCCCTTTCTCCGCTGGCCTTGAGGCTGGTAAACGTTTGAAAGGGTCAATCTGTCCAGAATGGGAATTTCCACTTCGGAAAAAGCACAGAAGTACCTGACATCTGTTCCTTGAAGGGCCTACACACCACCTCCCAACTTAGAGTTGGAATTCCTACTTCTGCCTGATGGCAGGGAGGGCAAAGTTTTAAAACCTCCAGTGTCTATTCCTGCCTGAAGAATAGGGCATAGTCTCCAAAGACCTCTGGTTTCCGGCTCCAACAGCAGAGTATCCAAAAGATGAATCTAACTTTGATGACATGAATATATTCCCCTAGGAGAAAGAATAAGACAAAAAGCATCCAGTGGAACCCCCAATCTCGACCTAGAATTTGGTACTGCTTAGAATTAAATAACTATAGTGTTAAAACAGTTCCCTTGTCTCTAATGAGGCTACTGAGGCCCAGAGAGGTGAACCAATTTGCCCAAAGTGGCTCAGCATCCAGGCTAGCACTCTTACTTTGGTGTTCTTTCCACTCTGCCGTGCTGTTTATCTTAACCATCTAACTTCCCTCCTCTTATTTGCTCCCTAGCTGATGAGCTCCAAGGCGCTCGGGAAAGACAGTAAAATGTTTCAGTGCCTACAGTGCTGGGCACCAAAGGCCAGGCTCCAACTGGGAGCCTGGCTGGTAATGCAGGTACTGCCTTTCCATAACTTTAACAAGTGACTTTTACTTTATGGAAACTGCATCCCAAATGTCACTTTAAATTCAACTACATCTTACAGTTGAAAGTGGTTCTCAACTGTCAGTCTCTCCAGAAACCGCCCCCTTACAGGAAATGGGATTGGCATCTTTTCTTTTTAATAATTTATAACTGTTTTTCTACCTTCATAAATTAGGCTGAATATGTAATAGAGTATTTTAGTGGTTACTTTACTCAAACATATTCTAAGTAACTGCTTCACTTACATGCACAGCATTCCTCACTCTTTGCCTTATAAACTCAGGCATTCAATGGAAGAGGGGCTGTGAGGGTCGAGCTGACCCTTTTGTTCTGGGAACTTTGAAGTTTTCAGCGCAGCAGTGATTGTTAGAACCTAGCCCTCTCACAGCTTTTAGGTTAGGTGGAAACTTTCCTGAAAAGCATCAAGAGTTAAGCTTCTAAGGGTGAAATGAAATCCGATTCAGTATATTTGCGACTTTGAAAAACTTCCCCCCAACCCAGACCTGCGTTAGCACAAGTTAGTCTCCAAGTGGTACCAGAGAAACATTTCATGCAGAGTTTGGTTTGGTTACCTGGGTGGGGGAAACAATAGCAGGTGAAACTACTGTGGGAGAATTGGTGCTTCTGTGCCCATTGGCTTCTGGAAGAAGAGGCAGGGGGTCGTGTTTCACGGAAACCACCACCACCGCATCCACAGGCTCCGAGGGGCGGATACAAAGTCTTTTGGGGGAAGAGGGGCCGCAGATTTCCCCCGACCCGAACACGGATTCATACAGGGAGCGCTTGGGCGCAGCCTCGGATTTCACGTCGGGCCCGACCTGGCTGTCTCTGGGGAGAATATAGGTGTTCCCCAGCGAGGGCGGCTGGGGGCGGTGGTGGTGGGAGGGATGGGTGGGGGGGTGGTGGGAGTGGTGGCGAGCCGCCCCGTTTAGAGCCTCGGCGTAGCAGCTCTGCGGGGCGGGAGAGCCCAGTTTGGTGCCGATGCCCGCGATACTGTTGAGCGTGGCGATGGAGACGGCGCCGATGCAGTGGTTGGTGTAGGTCTTGGAGAGTTTGGCCGCCTTGGAGAGCATCTGCATCCTGGTGCCCAGCAAGTTCTTGCCGATGGCTTTGTTCTCATACCAGGTCACATCGCCCTCGCTGCAGTGGTCCCGGGGCCTCTGGAAGAACGCCTTGCAGAGGGGGTTGCGCTTCGACAGGTACTTGACGAAGCTGGCGTACGGGCAGAACTCGGTGCCCGTCTCGTACATGCGGGGCAAGTTCTCCTCGTCGCTGCTCTCGGCGCGTTTCTTGCTCCACGACGACGAGCGCGACTTGTGGTAGGGCCCGAGGGACTTAAAGTAGACGAACTTGCGACCGTCCTCGTCCATGGCTAGCCCGAAGGAGTCCTCCTCCAGCTCGCGCTGGTTCTCGCGGCCGCGCGTGCAGAAGTACATGCACGTCTCGAACCAGACCTTGTTGAGCAGCCCGAAGGGCGTGTTGGTGCTGAAGACGCTGGAGGTGTAGAGCTTGCGCAGGTCGGCGCGCGTGATGGCTTGCTTTTGCACCACGGGCCCGGCGCCCTGCTCCTCGAGCTTGCGGATGACCGCGGCCAGCGTCAGGTTGGCGCTGCGCAGCTCGGGGTCCTTGGTGAGGTCGAGCGTGCGGCAGTACGGGGGCTCGTTGAGGTAGCGGTTGAGGGAGCTGCGGATGCTGATGAGCGACGACTTGCTATAGAGCTGGCCGCTCTTGGAGCGGGCCTCGGCGTAGAAGGAGCGCAGCACGCGGCACAGCGCCCCCTTGTCCATGGTCTCGAAGTCCGGGCTCTGCGCCTTCTCGCTCAGGTACTCCCGGAAGATGCGCACGGCGTAGCGGGTGGCCAGCCGGGTGTTCTCGCTCAGCCGAGCCCGCTCGGGGCGCTGCAGCACGTCGGGGTCCAGCTCCGCGCCGTCCCC